AACTGGACGCGCGCGTGTGTCCAGTTCATTTCAGAAACCAGTTACCATTCCGGTAATTCGAAACTTTGTATTTTTAATTACATTTGTTTCGGACTTTCGTACGAATCGTGTGTTGAGATAGGGATAGCGATTGCGAGTAGTAGGGGCAAATCTCACTGGGATCCTTATAGGGCTAGGGATTCTCTCCCATTTCTTCCACTGAAATTGGCAGCTGTTGCAGTCGAACAACAAAAGCGAATGAAACCCACAAATCGTTAGGCGAGTCCCGGAGTTCAAAGACCTCTCCTCATGAGCTGGGAAATCGAAGGAGGGGGAAGTGGAAGTGGAAGTGGAAGGGCACGAACCCTGGCCCAAAAGTTGAGGTGCGGTCCAGGTAGCGAAAGGCAGGCAGAATGAAATGAAAGGACAAGGACTCGCCCAGCGATCTGCAGACGGGGCATCAGTCGATGATCTACGTAAACACACACTGCACAAAATCGATACTTCCCTTCAATGAAAAATATTTACAATACAATATTACATATATACAAATCAAGAATAAATAAAAATTTTATCAAGAACTATTTACATGTACTTTATTTAGGGCAGAACGTTCGAAGTGGGTTTCTTCATTTGCTAGCAACCTCGAACTGAATGGCAATAAAAAGGGTTATTGCAGATGCAGATTTTTTTCTCAGTGCTGAAAACTGCATTCAGCATGATAATGATGATTTGCTGATGCCAGGACGAAAAACCCCTGCATAAAAAACAGCCCAAGGGCAAACTGAACCCCATACGAAGGCCTTTCAACAATTTTCCGACAGCTGTCCACATTGGCATTATTTCGTTTTCCATTTTCCTCTGCGTGGATGCAACAGCAGCTGATTCCTGATTCCTGACCCCGCCGTCGGTCGAGGTTCCTCCATGCTCAAGGTTCCAGGCTCTAGGTTCTGGTTTCTGGCGCTGCACCCAGATCTTGAATTTCATTTCGGGACTGGGACAAGAACTCGTTTAGGGAGGGGGATTGGGCTTGGGATCGGGATTGGAAATGGGAATGGGAATGGGATCGGCTCAGGTTAGCGCCCTCTGGCATTTGTTTTGTTTGCCATCCATAAACTAATGGCTTTCAGGATGCAGCCGCTTCAGAAATACTTTGAATATTTGAGGCTGAGGCTGCATTCTCCCTTTGCAGCAGTTGATTCAATTAGAGTCCCGGTGAAGTCAAAACTGCCGAGGGTTAGGCATCAATCAGGCAACCGAGTTGATTCTTCAATTTGTGGGAATTACCGAGCCAACACTCATTCGCACAAAGGACGCTGCTCTCGGCAAATCTGTGCTGTGTAAATTGGTAATTCCAGGTGTAAGGAAAGCCAAGTGAAAATGCACATTAGTTGGAGGAGATGGAAATTAAAGCTTGGAGTGGTCTACACTCAGCGGATTCATCGCTGTCACCAAATAATCCAAAGTAACTTACTTTTAAGTAGTACTATTGGTAGTATTGAGTCAACTACATAAATATTTAAATTATTTCCCATTATTAAGCACTTCCTCAACATTCCCGACATACTGTCGAACAAGAATTTTCGCCTGAGTTTCAGGATCCTCTGCTAGTATATCCTTACTTCCAGCTTTAGTTGCTTTAAGCTTTGAGCTAGGAGGATGTCAGGAACTTCCTGCTAAATTTTTGCAGAGTGCAGCTAAACAAAGCGAACAGGATGGCATAGAACAAGTTAAGTTGTTTGTCTGAGGAATCCTGTCTTCAGACAAACACCTACATGTGTATGTGCAGTAGTGTGCCAGTGTTTGTGTGCATATTGAGTCACTAATCTTAATTACTTGTGCAGCATGCAACAAGAGCACTTAGCGCTGATATCCTGCCAGACTCGTGTTGCCCGAGACATATGCACATACGTGATTATAGTTTCCGATGGCCTTTAGTGATGCCCCTCAAGATACGTATGCGTACCTAGTGTTCTACGTACTACCCCCTCTGTTTATTTCCTCATTTTTCCTCTTTTCCCCTATTGAAATAAATTCTCAATGAACGCGCCCATTCGATGGGCCTTTCATTTTCATGCGTGCCATTTGCAGCAGCTGGCGTTTTGGTCCTTGCAGCTTGTTGCTGATGGGATGCTGCTGATGTTGTTGCTGCCCCTGATGCTGTTGTTGCTATTTGTGAAACGCTTGCAAATCTGTGGCAGATGCCGCGCCGCACATATATCCGCAGCATATACATTCCCGTATAGTATATCATATTTGGTTTGCGCATTAGCCCGGCCAGCAAGGCTAAGCGACACATGGAGCTCATCCACGTAGATGGATACACTCCGTACCAAGCGAACACAATTGGGGGCAGTCGCATAGGAATCCGCTGTCAAAAGGAGTGGTATGATCCATTTCTATCTCACCTTTGAAGCTGACAAATAGCAATCTTAAGCATAGAAGTTGTAGTGGTGTTATAGTAATAAAAACAATTTGCAAAATTGGTTTCGGACTGTGCTATTAATGTTTGATCCTGCACTAAGCGCTGCTTACTTCGCCAAAGTATTTTGGCTCAGATGGAGTCATTATTTTTGCGCAGACTGTGCGCATTTGTGCTGGGATGCTTGTTTGCGATGTATGTGCTTAGGGGGTGGAGAGTGGAGAGTGGGCGAAACGACAGCCCCATCCTTTATGTTATCCTGCATGTCCTTGTGCTTCAACTCGACAAATATTCAACACGTATTCATTTCCTGCGGACGCTCAGTTGCCAACTGGCAACATTCTGTGTCGCAGGAGTGGCTTGGGTTGGGTTGGGTAGCCGCAGGAGGTGGCGATGACGAAGAAGACGCAGCACAAGTGCAGCCAGGACATGGATACTTGCACTTGATGCCTTCGCTATAAAGCTTTGGCTTTGCCTTTAGCTTCAGCTGGAGCTGGAGCAGGAGCTGCAGCTACAGCAAGTAGCAGTGGATGTGGATGTGGATGTAGTTGTAGCTGCTGATGAAGTAGCGACAATGCGGCAATGCGTCGCAAACTCACGTTGAGTGCTACTTGGCAGCAAGACAACGACGCCCAGACTGCCACGCCAAGGACGCAGGAGTGGCGACGCAGGCGATGGAGATGCTGATGCAGATGGAGGTGCAAAAGGATGCAAGGATTGGTCCTTGGAGGCGGAGGCGATGCAGGATGTTGGATGTAGATGCCAGCGACGACAGCGTGACACGCAACAGGAGGGCGGAGTTCCAAGGACAGCGGTATTTCCCTGGCCAGGATAACGGAAGCTATCCCTGAATTGGCGACAGATACGCTAAGGAATCTTTCCGTCTTGGATGAAAAGCAGAGCCAAGTCCTGACACTGAAAGATGACTGATGGAAAGCGTGTGTGGCGATAACGATGAATAATAAAAACCGCAGATCAAACTGAATGCTTATGAGCTGGATTTTTGCATGGCTGGGTGGCTTTAATTTCGCACAAACGCCAAACCTTCTTAAATAGTAAGCAGCGACATTAAAAGGAGCAAGCAACGATTTTATTATACCTACATATTTCCAGATATTCAAATCATATTAGTCGTATCATTCCAAACCCTCATAAATCAACTATTTGCTCAAGGGTCAGCAAACTTAAATGAAATTGGAAAGAAAGGGATTGCAAAATGATGCGGTTCGAATCTATTGGATATTTTTATTCAAAGGTTTTCCCATTGTCTCACGGGGTTTTCTTTCTTCGGCGAAGCAGCTTCTGTCCAAGGCGAATAGGGTTTTCTTTAGGGTTTCCGAGAAGTCTTCATCTGCTCCTTAAGTTCCCTCCCTTTGCCAAGGATGCTGCCCGTGAAGTCTGATAAATTTCCCTCACGAACCGACCCCATCGCCAGGCAGAGCGAATGTGCTGATCCTTTGACGATTGCACAACACTTCCAGCACATGCATTCAGTTCCCAGTTCCCAGATCCCAGTTCGCAGTTCCCATCCCAAGAAAGGTAGCCCACCTCAAGCCCAAACCCCCAACCATTTCGCAGCATTATTTCACCCCTCTGGAGGTATCTCGTCAAGTGACCCTCTCGATGGCTGTGGCTGCTGCTCGGGTTCCCCAAGTTCCTACCAGCTCTCCCAGGATATCTCCAGGACCGGGCTTCTCCAGGAGGAAGCCGTGAACGCTTAACGCCCGCTCATTCCCGGCGAGAGAGTCACACGTAGCCACGAAATCATTTTTCACCACTTAGTCACGTCGCTTTGACAGCACATCCCTGGGAGGATGGGCATGGGTTTCGGTTCTGGGTCTGGGATCCAGTGAGATGGGGATGTGCTGGGGTTAGTCTGGGATGTGTGGTCTTGGCCGCAGCCTCAGCATCCGCTCTTATCTGCGGTTTAGTTGCTTATAATTGGCAGACATGTGAGTGGAAAGGATTGGAGGGGCGAGCTTTCCCAGTGTCCTTCCTCCCGCATCTCCCCCTCGTCCCTCTCGAGCACCGGATGCGAATGCCCGCCGACTGCTAATAGTTACACTCGCAGGATATCTATATGTCGGTAATTAGCCAGCCGTAAGTCAGTACGACTACTTTCCCACGCGGCGAACATTGCGTGATGTTGTTATTAAACAGGAGCAGTAGAAGTAGCAGTAGTCCTCCTACGTAACTTGCTCGGCAATTACATTTGTACTGCTGTCGATCGTTAGTTGGGAGGCGAAGTTTCCCGCCGCCACTGCGTTTTGGGTGGGTAGCTAACAGATGGCATCAATCAAGTGGAAACCACTAAGTATAATGCAGCAATGTTGCCCAAAAGTTGCCATTGCAGTTGGGAAATCTTGTTGCCGGCCAGCACCCCTTGCACCACCGCCCTGTATCCTGCACGGTGGAAAAGGAAGCAAGGGACATATTTTAAGTTTCATGTCAATTAAAATATGTGAACATGACAGGTTTGTGGAATGAAATGGAAAGTAAAAGAAGGTAGCTACTATTTTAAAACTAAAATAGGAGCTATATAGCTAAAGATAACATTTTATGAGCGAAGTAATTTCAGACTCATTTCCGCATAATTGGGAAATCCCTCGTTCAGCCGCCTTATAGTATAGCTAATTGTTTTTCAATCCCCGATTTGCGATTTTCGCAGTGTAAGCTGAACATCCCAACAAGTGCTTGTGGTACGTGTTGTCCTGCTATTTTGGTTACCTTGTATGGTTGCACTTCCTCCGCTTTGCCTGTGGCACGAATCAAAGTATTGAATTTCTATATCCGTTTTTTCCAGCTCCTTTCGTTTCATTTTGTGTATTGTTCGGGTGAAAGGGGCGTGTTGCTCGGTGTTGCTGCCGCTGTTGCTGCTGTCGCAGTTGGTGTTGCTGCTGCTGCTGCTGCTGCTGCTTACATAAAGGACAACAGCTCAGCAGGACTAAATGAGTGCACAGGAAGTTTTTACACTGCTCACCTTGAGCGGGGTTTGGGCTTGGGATTGGGTGTGGGTTGGGTTGGGTTGATGGCTCGGTGGTTGTGGGAATGGAACTCGAGCTGTGGCTGTAACTGGGTGCGGGGCAATTAGGTGCTGTCCCAATGGCTGACTACATGTATCTGAGGCAAAGCGGAAACTGTCGCAGGTGATCGGCGTGTTGATAAGTTCGAAAACATCAGCAGCAGCAGCAGCAGCAGCAGCAGCAGTAGCATTTGCAGCGGCAACAATCACCATCAGCAACTTGAACCCGAAATGTGTTTCGCATTTTGGCATTTCGCAATTGCCAAGGCGAAAGTTCTGAAATCGTTCTGTGGCCCTCGCAGAAAAGCATTTTTCGCATTTGTATACCCTGACAGAGGTTAATTGCTTGAGTTCGTCAGTTTGAAGGTCTACGCATTTTTTGCAGCTGGATTTCATTGAAAACTTTTTTGAATGCTGTGAGTTCTGGTTTCATTATGTAGCCATCATTTGTCACACACTCTTTTGTTTTTGATTGCGATCTAAAGGGCATCCTGAAAATGGCATTGAAACAAAAAGTTGTCGGGAGTTTCTGATAGGAAGTTACTATTTAATAAAACTTTTGCCTTAATTTACTTAGTCCATAAACTTTATCGTAATTAAATCTTGATAATTACATTTGCAGCAAGACAGTCATTTACATGCATACTAAGATATTGTGATAACGTGCGTAAGAAGAACATAACTCGGCTATCTATTTATGTGTATGTCAATATCTGAAATGTGAAAAGTTCATCCAGCAACTAAATCCCTCTAATTACAAGCCATTTGAAAGCACATTGAACCTTGTATATTGAGTTCATGCTTATATTGCATTTTAAATGATAAGTATAGCAGTTTAAAAACTGAAAAATCTATGTTTTCATTTTGAAAACTGGAAAATGACCACGAAAAACCAGTTTATTTTGCATTTTTTCAGGAACTGCTAACCGTTTTAGCTGTCATAACAACAATGGGTAAACAAGGGTATTCAAACCTTTGGTATCGAAAGTTTTCCCTTTTTTTTGCAGTTTTTGGTGCAAGTTTGGGATCTGGTTTTCTGAATAGCTCCAGCTACTCGGAAACAAAGTGCTATAAAAGTCACGCCCGAGGCGAAATGAGTTTTCAGTTGCTGCCTTGGGAGAGTGGAAGGGGGGAGGTGGAAGGCGGGCGGGAAAGCCGCTTTTCCAGCGTGTTTTTTACCGTGCTCAGCATCAGGTAAGCTAACCTTTTGTGCCGCCCATTAGAAACATGCACGCAGTCGGCTTACTTAAGCATACAAATTGTGTACGGAGGCAAATGCAAATGCGCCAGACTCCCGGCAATGTGGAAATGGGAAATGGGAAATGCGGAATTGTAGAATTGTGGAAATGCGGATACGTGCGGGGATTTGAGGCAGCTCTCACTTTGGGCTGGAAAAACTTTGCCATGCGTGCCGCCATTTGACTCGCAAGATTGACACGCTGCCAAGACGGAGTGGGGGGGGTTTTCTTTATTTTGGGGGCATACAAAGTGGGTGGAAAAACTGTGCAGATGTGTCCAATTTAGTGGAACACTGGACCAACGCCCCCGGCCAGATGCTCTGGAGCTCCTTATGATTATTATTCCTATACATACACACACATATATACAGTGTATACAACCCCCGAAAAAGGAACAAGGGCAGAAGGAACAGCGAAAAGCGAAAAGAAAACCCAAGCCAAAAGCCCCAAGGCGACTCGACAAGTGGCGGAAATTAATGCAGTAATTGTGGTAAGCGCTGTCCTCCTTGCTGATTCATAATCGCATGTATTCAATTAAGGAGATTAATTATTTCGGGCAGTATTCGAGGGATTTAAATCTGTCAGGCTTAAGGAAAATGAAACTCTTTTCCCCTTTCCGCACAAAAGGGGTCAGCTTTCCTCTCTCCAAGCATTCAGCGGTCAGCGAAAGGTCACGTGGCCACCATAAATATGCCGGCTATCGATTGTACCTGACCACGCCACAGAACTATCCATCTTCCATAAGATGTCAGCGGCAGGAGCTTATGCAAAGTTCTCCAACCACTCGGTATTTGGGGGAGAAAAATCTATGCCCATGCCGGGAATTTCGACCATGACAATAATCATCTGAAGCGGTTTTCCCGCTGGAGGGAGGGCGGTGGTGTCAAAAGTAGTAACTCCCCCTTTTGGCAGAGGGTGGTTTCGATTGGCTTTGGTTGGGGTTGGCCAAATAAATTAGGCAACGAAAAATTGACATTCCAAGGAGCCAGGACATCGCCACTGATTAGAACAATATGCGTGAGTATGTAAAAGGCAATCTATAAACCCATATACACTCGCACACACACATACACAACCACGTATCTGTAGAGGCGTATTTATATAACGCATTTGTAGCTGGCCAAAAAAAGATGTGTTCAAAATAAATATGCGTGCGTGTTGCTTCCCCACTCCAAGTACAGTAGCCGAAATGAGTATAGATTTGTTTGTTTGTATGTCGTTAGCATTGTTTTTCCCCAGTGCGTGCGTGCGTGTGCCTCCATCTGCATCTGTGTATGTGCCTGTGTGTGTGTATTTTTGCCTTTCGTTGACACTTTCACAATTTATGGCAAATGCTGTCTTCCACCCGGTCCCCTGCCACAGAAAAGGCGCCAACTGAACGACAGAAGCAGCCAACCTACCCCCTGAAAGTTACTTTCGCCACCCACCAAAAACAAAAAGAATTCCCAAAAAAGAAAGGAGGCGATTCCGCAGTGCGGGGTTACGAATTGGAGTTACCCAAAGTAACAAGAGCAAATTCATTGCTATTATAAAGAATTACATTCCACTTCTAACCAAACCAGAACCAAACTGATTAGTGATTGGTTTTTAGCTGTCCAGTAGTAGTAAGCTGCTGGTATCATCAATAGTTTTCTACTCGCCTATACACCCAGTACAGGGTATCTCCCGTGGGCGTTTTGGGGGCGTGGCCGCTGGGGGTTGGGCCGGAAAGCATTCTGTTTACCAGTTTCCGCAGTCCCCAGTTGTACACAGGACTCATTTGAAATAAATATTTTTGTGTTTTTACTCGAAGCGACAATAACGCAAAACATGAAGCATACACTAACAGCAGAGACAAATGTGCCACTGTAGTGTGCGTGTGTGTGTGACAGAGTCCTGCACGGAGTGCGAGAGTGTGTGTGCGGCTGTAGGCAAAACCACGCGCGGCGCTGCGGCGTCAAAGTCGAATTACTCATACGCCACGTTGGCCAATGTCGCTGCCACTTTGGCTTCGCCATTGTTGTTGCTGCCTCTGCTGTCTGACACACAATCCGTGCCTCCAGTATGCGCGTTGACGTTAAAAGCTACAGAGCAATTAATCATTAGCTTTTACAGGATTTATTGCAAATACTTTTATCGGATATATTAAATGAACTCCACTCCACAACCTTCACAAGGAGCTCATCGGCCTAAGGCCGCCCGTGGAATTATGGCAGCATTAATCCAGTGTGGACTATCTGCCGACAACATCTTACTACTGTTCGGTTGGTTTTGGCTCAGTTCTGTTCTGCTTTTTTGGGGGGCCTTTCGCCTTTCGGCTTTAAGATTTGCGTCATCGCGAAGTGTCAGTCATGTGGGTCACGGGGCGGAAAACAGGGAAATGGGAAATGGGAAATGGCTGGGAAAGTGGTGGGGGGAAAAGTTCTTTAGACATATGCACACACGCGATGGCTTAGCAACAGTTTACATCGCATTGTACTACGTTGTTTACTTTCGGTGACAAAATGAGTTACAGGTTTCATTCATTGCCCTAATGCAGCTTGATAAATTTGAGCGCATTAATTACGCTCACTTGGTCTTGGTGCTGCCAACTCACATGGCAAATATATCCTTCGTCCTTCGTCCTTCGCCTTCGTGCTCCTTTTCTTAGCCGGCGATTTGGAGTGCGCCGCTGTTGTTCAGTTTCATGTGCCATTAACTGGCTCAAGCCGCCGCGATTGATCTTGGCCGTAAGTTGGGTTTATTGCCTCCTCATCGCCAAAGAAGCTGTTCACTGTGCACTGAAAACAATTTGAACAATCAAAGCCCTTTTAAGCATCAATCAGGATGACTCAAAAATGCAAACTTTTGAATGGCAAATGTGGAACAAATTGAAGTAAATATGTACAAAGTGATTCAGTACTACCAATTGCTTTAATATAAAGTTTTATGATACCGCCCCCAGAAATGTTTTGTTAAACTCTAGATTCTGCGATTTTCGCACGCTTTGAATTTGATTCGAGCTAGTTTTATGGCAAATCACTAAATTTTACTGCGATTTGAAGCAGTTTTCTCAGAGTGGCAAGACGCAGTGGCTTCTTTCGCATTCTGCACATGCAAATTTATAACAATTTTACGTTCTCACATGCTCAAAGTCGTAAATCGTATTCGGCAAGGTGCGAACTGCTCCTCCATTCCGCGCCAAAACCAAGTGGCTGTGCATAAAAAATCGTTTATGGCTTTGCAGCGCTCAAATAGAACAAAGCATAAATCCTAATTTACTTATGTGGAGCTGCAGCAGTTGCCACTTGCTGTGTGTGTGTGTGGTGTGTGTGTGTCACCCGACGGTAAACATATATCAACAACATCTTAAACTCATGACGCCAAATAAATACAAATGTTGTAAAATGCAGGGGATGCCCTGGAACGGGATAACATAGAACCCAGGCCAGACTCGTAAATCGCTCGGAAAAGGAGGAAAAAGAGGAAAAACCCATCCCCAAAGCCGCTTCCCGGGAAAATTGTCGAGCAGGAAAAGCACCGTGTGAGCTTAGTGGCATCGCGATTGAATGCGACTCTGAATAAATTTCACCTCAGCAAGTGGCTGTAAATTGTTTATATTTTACTCGAGTCCGCTGTATTAAAAGCGAATTTGATGGAATATGGATTAGGAGTGTTGTGTGTGCTCTTTTTGACTGGGTTTTTGATTTGGCACGAGTGAAAGAGTGATAGAGATTCCCATGGAGATATCCGAAATAACTTTACATGAGTCTTTTACGATTCTTGAGTTTATGTTTTAGAAGTGGCTTTATATTACATGACTCATTTAGCAAGGAACAAGCATGGGGCTGTGTATGTGAATTGGGTTATAAAGTAATTGGTTTTAAATATTTCTTAGTACTTTTATTGATTCAAACGCATGTGCAGATCTCAGATCTCAAACCAGCTTTGGTTTAAGAGAGTGTCTCTTTATTTGTTGGCCATTAAACTTCTTGTCGGCCTTAAAAGCGAAATTTTTAACAATTTTCTGTGCCAGAAAACCGACGTTTAGCCTGAATAAATCCCTAATGGATTTGAAGTTGCCCTAAAGACATTTACAAAGTGCAAAATGCATTTCACAAATATTTCAAAGAGTTCTCGGCCAATAAATCTGACCGAAAGTGAGCTTACCTCTTGATCAAACTAATCAAGTTGAGTAGCCGCCATTGAAGTGGTTTTGTTTACTTCAAGTTCTCGCCCAGAAATTGATATAATTGATGGCCAGCCATAACAGGCCACATTAGAAATGCCGCTCAATGCTGGAGATTTTCCTTCTGCAACATCTGTAACCTCTGGCTGTGTGTGTGTGTGGCTGAGTCTGATTCTGATTCTGATTCCGAGTCCTTGTTTGCGTCTGTGTTTGTCGTCCATCTGGCAGAAGGAGCTTTCCAGCTTGACTTGTCCAATCCGAGTCCTAACAGGAGGAAAAAGTACTAAAGCGTCAGCGGCATGTTAAGTAAACTTTATGACCGGAGCATTCCGCAAAAAGCGCCGGGATGAGCACGGCGGATAAGTCCGGCGGTTCGGGAGGAATGGAAATTGGGGGGCGGGCCGGGTCGGGCCGCAAATAAAACCAGGACCAGAACAAGGATCCCCAGTCCGAGTGAGGCATCAAAAAGTAAGAGCAAATGCAAAAGCAACAACTATAAAAACCTGCAGCGATAGTAAAATGCAAATTGGTTGGGGTGGCTGGGCAGCAGCACTTCCAGGACTCCCGCACTTCAGGATCCCAGGACTTCTGGTCTCCCTTGGTCCGTCAGAAAACGTGGTGGTCGGGGGGGTGGGGAAAAAAAGAACGTAGAAAAATACTAGTAAGCTCTGGCATTCGCACTCGTAAAATAAAAGTAAAGTGCAACAGCAATTTGTTTGCACAATTGCTGAATGCGGCCATTGCTGCTGTTGCTGCTGTTTGTGTTGCTGCTGCTGCTGCTGCTGCTGCCGCTGTTGCTGTTGGCACTCGTCGCATTGTTTGCTTTGTAGCCGGTTGTTGTACATTTTTATGACAGCTCAAATTGGCCCCCATCGCCGCCCGCGAGCAACACTGTCAGCATATGGCAATAAATGGGCAACAGGAGCTGGTCGTCGCTCCCCACAAATGCCCAGACTATAGTCTCGTCTATATGCATATACATATCTATCTAACCGGCATGCTTTTTGCCCACTTCGCGTCTGATTTGCGATGTCAGAGGAGCCAGTTGATTTGATGCCTTGTTGCAGAGCCCTTTTGATGACTGCGCCATCCCTTTGCTCCATTTCATTTTATATTTTGGCACTTTGAAATTAAAATATAAAACCCGCGACGCTTTGACAACTTTTTAAGCTCCATTAGCGTTGACGGCAAGAAAGCCTATCAAGCGGCAACAAAAGGCGGCCGTGGAAAAAGGGTCAATGTAACCGCGAAGGCAGCCGACGACGCGGCAGGACATTGGGACACCAGGACACCATCGCCAGGACATCGCCAGGACATCGCAGCCAACCCCTTTGGCCGGGTAACCTTGCGGTTGTTTCCTTTCCCATTTCCCAGTCCCGGCTCTTTTCCCTGCAGCGCTGGCAGGACCCAAACCAAGCCGCAATTGCGAAACCAATTCAATCACTACAAACAATTTTTTACGTCTCATGCATACTGCTATATTTATATATACCATGCCAGATTTAGTGGAATTATTTATGTACCATTTTTCAAAACCCTATTTACCTGATTGCGATTAAAACCCTGTTAAGTTGCTGTCATAAACTATTCATTGTGTTTGGTGTCTAAGAGTAAACTACTAAATAATCATATTCAAAAAGTTTCATACAAGCTGTTAAAAGTTAGCTGCCTACTTTTTAACACATTACCAATTGGTCCTGGCAACGTAGTAGCCAATAATTGTCACTGCTTTCTCCCAGTGCATCCTGTTCCGGTCTGCTCTGGTTTGCTCTGTTGGCTGGCCTGCTTGGTTGGTGTTGCACTTCCGTGGCTCGAACAACAGCGGCAACCGAAAAAAAACCATTTAACTGTTTCGCTGTTTGGCATTCATTGCGAATTTAAAGGGCGGCTTAGTGACAGGAATAATAAGGAAGCCCGCAGCGGAAGCGCTGATGTCAACGCAGCAGCAACAGCAGCAACAGCAGCAGCACCACCAATGCCACACACACAAAAAAAAAGATACAAAAACCGCAAGGGACTCTATTGGATTCGGGGGAGGAAAGGGGCTGCTGGTTGCGACCGGGGGGCAATAATGGGCCACGGGCCATGGAGTCCTTGCGGCCGTTGTGTGTCCTTTGGCCCCCTTTTCGATTCGGTCTCGCATCTCGGCCTGTACAAACAAGCCAAACCAAATGAAACCAAACCAAACGAAACGAAACGTAACGAAATAAACCCAAAACCTCAGAACGTTAAAAAGGACAACGGACAAAGCAAGGAGCAAGTTTCAGTTGTCAACTATGCTAAATATTTGGTCTAGCTAACCAAAACGAACAAAAAAAAAAACCGAAGGGCCAACCGAAGAATGAAAACAATACCAAATTAAACGCTTACAGCTGGAGCAGCTCATAATTTATTTCTAAGCTTTGGAACCCCTTGAAAATTCGAACTTTTTCCCTCTACATCTTTGTTTTTTTGGCAGCCAAGTGGCAGACATCAAAACACACCCCCGGCTTTTCGGGTTTTTTTTTTATTATTTTTTTTTTTTTTGGAAAGGTACTGGTACCGATACTTCTTCTTCCCGGTTTTGCGGCCCCCCGTGGCTGGCATACCCACCCCCTGCGCCATTCCAAAAGCGGTGCTGTTGCATAATTTTCGGCAATCCACAAGTGTGTGTGGCACGAGTTCCTGCCAGGATAAGTCCTTTGTCGTGGTATTGGTGACTCGCTGGTTGAGTTTTGCGAGAATCGCACGGAACATAGAGTGTATGCGCAGACTCAGTTGCAACTCTCTCTTGGGGTTGTTGCATGTTTTTGGGTGTTTTTTGGGCGGCTAGGGGGTGGTGTTGCTGGCTACTTGTTGTGTCTTCATGTTATGCTTAGTATTTCTAACTAGCTAATAAATCGCATCAATATAACTTAGAATCTAGCAACTATCGGTGGGATACTGAGCAGTTATTTGGCACCTAAACCCTTTAACCAATGGCCCAGGAACCACCCCTTGCCTTCCAAAAAGCACCACCACCCCCTAGTGGTGTGCGTTGGTGTTGACCCGAAATCACGCACACTCGCTGTAAAGCACACACACACACATATAGAAACCTCTACGTATGTATATACGCTATGTGCTATAGCCAAGTGAGCGGCAGAGCCAGCGAAAAGCTGCGAATGCCAAGCGCACAGTAGAAGGGAGTGGTACGTCAAAAACTGACGCACAGCGGCAGGCCAAACAAGTCCATAGTTTAATAGCCAGCACACACCGCACCACAATAATAATATAAACTGTAAAATATATAAAAAAAATAGTAACACTCAAGTCCAGGCCAAAACCAGAAACCCAAATATTACGTGACCAAGTGCAGCTAAACAAAAAAGAAAGAAAAAAAAAACAAAGAGGAAAATCTATAACTATCAAAGAGCAAATTGTGTGTATGAAGAAAAAACAAGCCACAAATCAGAGCGAGTACGAAAGTTTCCTACGATATCATATCATATAACCGCCATAGATTGGTTCAACAGCCAAAAATGTAGTTATAAGCTCGGATCCTTATTTATGCATGATTTGATTTGGTGTTGCATGTGACAAAGTGCTATATAGGATATATGTTCCTTGCATGTGTGTGTATAAGTCGCTGCAGCTGCAAAGTATGCAATAAAAATCTCGCATTGTTTATGTGCAGCAGAACATCCACAGAGAGCGAGAGAGAGAGAACGACTGAGAGAGAAAGAGGGAGAGAGCGAGCAAAGGAGAGAAATGGGCGAGAAATGGGCTGGAGAAAGGGGGTGGTACAGTGAGGTAGGCTAAGGCAACCAACAGTTGACTATTTGTTGCATGTACTCGCTACTTTGCAGTTCCACCTACTAGTTTCCAAGCTTCAACGAGTGCGCCGAACTCTCCATTTCTCTTTCTCGGTATAAAAAACGCTCTCTCTCTCTCTGAGAGTTTCTCCGACGATTTCAATTCACAAAACATTCGACAAGTGCAGAGTGAACAAGTTGTTGTTGCTGAAGCAACGAACGGAAAACGAGGAAAATTTATAGGATTTCCACAGGCCGCAAAGCATTCAGACCATTACCTAAGAAATATTCAACATGTGATAAAACTAGACAAAAAAGTGTATATATTGCAGGAGGATACATGGTAATCCCCATCGATATCGTAGAGCCTCGGCCAGTGCATTTCCTAAACAATGGCAGCGAGTATATGCGCCATTTTTAAACGTGGGATAGGGATAGATAGTTTCGGTGTGCGTGCGTGTGCGCCACCTTCCAATGGAAGCTTTTCCGCCCAGCCCGCCCCCCGCAGAACACCCATTTCCCCACCTCTCTCTCTCACTCTCTCTCTTCTTCGCTCTCCCTCGCTCTCGCTCCCTGTGCTCCACGCAGTGCGGAAAATGAACTGCCTGTCCGTGTATAAACCGTGCAATTTAGTGCAAAAAGTATAACAATTTATCAATTAAGTGTAATCAAGTGTTGCAAATTTTCCCCGGCCACCTGGAAAACCCACCACCCATCCAGCAAGCACCCATCACCCACCCACTCCCCACAATGGGATGTCCTGTTCCCGTCTGACGCTGATTGCACGGCGGTTTCTGCATTTATAATGTAAATATTATGACTGGCAACCACTGCAGGAACTTGTTTACAATTTTCGCACTTTAATCGCCGTTTAAATTATGCAATTCCGTGGCTGGTTCTTTTCGCTTCGCCCTTTTTTTTCGAGTGCAAGGTGTTTGGAAAGTGGCGGAGTGTGCAGTTAATGGTTGCCATAGAGTATTTACCTGCGATTTATGGGGTATGCCAGGGCAAAGGGTGCATTATGGGCTATCAGGAATTGCTTAGGAAGTCCTGGCAGCGGGCTCCTGCTTTTTATGAGTGCAGGACCCCCAGAATTTCCAGTCAATAGAAAGTATGATAAAGAGGGCTAAATAAAACCAACCTCACATCATAAATGAGTTTTGATAATGGATCTTGGTTAATAAGTCCACTCATAGTTAACTAAAGTCTACTTGCGTTAATTTAAAGAATATTATAATTTGTTTGAAAAGTGCATTTAACAAAGCATCTTCAAGCGTACACCCTGGCTAAGGAGCTTATTACAAAGACGCACCTTTGTCCTGGTCCTTTGAGCAGGACACAGCTATTACTTGCATGTAAATGTGACAGGGTCTTTGTGCACTGTCTTGCCGGTAAATAAGTGCAGTTTAATTTACCCGCCTTTCCATTACTTGCAGAAAACAGGAGCAGCAGCAGTAACGGCGGCAACATTGCAGCATTGCAACAACCACCAGCAGCAACTAGCAACGCAACAACGAAAGCCAGATACCTTCAACTGCGGAGATAGCCGGGAGGTACAAGTTAAATAAGCTGCCAGGCGGATGCGGTAGGATCGCAGGTGGCAGGATCTTGCGGGGGCAGAAGGATGCCAGCCAAAGGACGCAATATTGCAGCATCCGCAACATCCGCAACATCCGCAACTTCGGGGACACGGAATCAAAGCTGAAGGAGCAACCGCAGCAATACTCTCAAGGCGACGCATGTCAATGTCAAAGTTGAACCAGAAGTAGAAGGCCGTAGAAGAGGGCCAAGAACGGTCGAGGGCGGGTCAAGAGCTACACGGCTATAGCTATAAAGGCAAAGCATTTTAACTGCAGATGACAAAGAAGGTTGTGCTACATCTACATAGTAAATACAAAACAAATCTAAGCATAAGAAACCCCCAAAAACCACACCCAAACCCAAACCCCAGAGAAACCTAGACCAAAATAAACAGGGCAGCAGCAAACAAGTGGAGGGCAATCCCCGGAATCTCGATTGCCGCAGCTCCAAGCTGGCAAACTGGGCAGGCAGACGGATACGGATACGGTGACCCGTTTTGCAGGCAAGATGTCCGTGGACTTTATACTGCCCAATCGCAATAAGATCCAAACGATTGCCTATGCGAGTGCCAGCAAGAAATATGTGCCCGGTGGATCGGGATCCACTCTCAGCTCCGGATCGGTATCGGTGTCGGGATCGGGTGCTGACCTGCAGAGCTGGCGACGCCCGAAGCCCAGGACCTCCGGTAAAGTGAAGCTCGAGGATAAATCCCCGGCGACTGCCAGCTCGGTGCTGAGGAATGCCAATGGAAATGGCCAGGGAAATGGCGGCAAGTCACCACTCAAATCGCTGGCCAAACGGAACTCGCGTTCGGTTCTCAAACGGGAGATCATCGAACTGGACGATGAGGATGGCGAGGAGCAGGAGGATCAGCTCTGTGAACACCTGGAATGGTCCGCCGCCCAATCTCTGGTCCAAATGAACTCCTCCAAGCAGGAAAAGCAGCGGCGAGCAGGAACCACAGGATCCCCTGCAATTGTGGCAGTGCCAGTCTCCGCCTCAGGTAAGTTCCACTTTTAAAGTTGGTTCTCTATTACCCTTTAACTATCATGATATAGTTAAAAAGGTGACCCAAGTTTAAGAGAAAGCAAGGTTTTTATTGGAAAGTTTTATGACTTTTTTCGGGCTTTTCCAATTATTAGTACACACTTCCTGTATTTCCTTCACATGAAGTGAACATTCTTGGGTTGCAAAAGCGGTTTTATTATCCGAGTATCTATTGTTCCATTTGTGAGACCTGCCAGAGCAGCTCGTGCCCCCCGGAATCACCAGGAATCACCCGGAATCAACCAGCTGCACCCCCTGAAAGTTGCGTCACAACAATGTGAACAGGTGGCTGCGACAATTTGTGTGCTCGTATTTATTTTTAGTAGCCAGGCAGTGTGAGTCCCACTCCATCATCGAGAGCCAGCGGCACTTTCAACCATTTTATGGCCACCCACTTGGCCAGCGTCCTTCAACTGGTGGCGCTGGCGACTGGGCCTCTGCCTGGTGACCCCCCCATGGTGACTGCTGGTGACCCCATGCAGTCCCTGCTCTCCCCACTTTGAGCACTCCACTGTGGGCGCTCGTGTTTGACATTGTCGCCGTTAGCTAATCTTTTTAGCGTATGTTGGCATTTTCCATGTTTGCGCTTGCCTTCTTGTCGATGTCGTTGCTTGTTGCTCTTGAATGGAGGCAAAGGCACGGGAAAGCGGGGGAAAATCGGGGAAAGGCGTTGGGGAAAAGCCAAAGCAGAAGCAGGAGCAGAAGCAAATGCAAACAAGCGGCATTGACTGCCACTGGCGATGGTGGGTGGGTGGCTTTGATGGCTTGAGAGGTCGTCATATCGATTGAGGAACTCGGAACGTAACAGGTCAGCCGCAGTGGAGAAGGGATATACTGCGTCAGCTTCAGCTTCAGCTTCAGTCCCATAAAATGCCAAAATGTGCATTTATGGTTACTGCTGCCCTTTATGATTCCCTTTGCTTTTGGTAGTCCCTTCATTTATCTCTTGCATTTGGCACACGCACCCCGAGCACATGTGTATGTGTACTTAAGGAAGCTAAAAAAGGCAAGAAAAAATGCTCCCTTTTAATAAAGACAGTTCAAAGGAGCTTGTAGTTTCGGGTTACACCTTCTGATGTCTACAGGTACAGATGGCAGCTCTGAGAAAATGCAAAAAAAAGAAGCCCCAGGGGAAGTGAAAGAGTTGCAGAGCGAGTCAATTCTGATTTGCACAGTAAATCGTTGTTAAAGAAGCGTTCGTCATTGAAATTATAATCAATGTCCTTTTACTTATATTGCTTAAATGTTCTTACTCAAACCTGATATAAGAGTCAAGAGTCCAAAATGTATTTGTGTATTTGGTGTTTTTCCCTTCAGTCTTCACCCAACGAGTTGATTGTATTTGAGCCAATTTCGATTTTAATAACATTTTGAGCGGATTCCACCGTTCCGAAAAACGTCAAAGCTTACAGACGATTAGGCAGCCCTGGTCCAAGATGGCAGCCCTGCCACTAGTCAGTCTGAAAAATCAACAAGTCGCTGACAATCATCAAATTCGATTAATTTAGAAGATGATAGCTGGTGAAAAATGAACTTTAAAGTGTTCTCTGCCCAAACCGAGGATAGTATCCAGCCCCTGGACTGTTAGTTCTTCCTTTGAGTTAGCCAGTATCTTGCGGATGCTAAAACTAAGTATTCATTTCCCCACAAACAGTATCGCTTCGCCGTTCAGTGGGCAGAGCTCCGGCGGAAGATGGCAAGGTGATTTTCTATGCCCCCCCAGCCAGCGCCAGTGGATCGCCCCGTCAGCCGGAGCCGGTGACCTTGAAGAGGGAGCGCGAGCGGGACAGGGAGCGCGAGAGGGAGAGGGAGCGCGAGCGGGACCGCATGCGGGAGCAACAAGTTGCAGCGGCCGCGGCGGCGGCGTCGATTTATCGTGGTCGCAGCGTGGAGGAAACGGAAGCGGCCCACGATCTGCTCTCCCTGTCACAGAGCCTGCCGCCCCTGATCCCGCCCTGCGTGGTGACCATCATGAAGCAGGAGCAGGAGCAACTGCGCTCCCCGGAAATCCAGGAGATATCGAACAGCGCTTCCAGCCGATCGCCCCAGTCGACCATTCGGTTCATCGGCAGCAGCTCCTACGACCTGATGGGTGGCTCCTCGGAGGGGGCCAACAACTGCTCGCCCCTGACGCCGCCGAACTCGGACCACAGCTCCGACGTGGATATCGACATGTCTTCCTCCTCCGAATCAGGTCTGCAGCAGTGGGGCAAGCCCAATCCCCAGCAGAACCAGCAGCGTGCCTCGGCCCTGAAGATGTGCCTCAACATGCTGGATGGCAGGACCAAGGCGAGCAAGGCCGCTGCTGTGACCAAGCAGGACAGGCAGGAGCCGGTGCAGCCGCGTCCCAAGAGTGCCCAGAGCAATGCCTCGTCGGGCGGTGGTCCGCCATCGGAGTCGCCAGAAAATGCGACAGCCAGCCTGGGACACAGCTCCACCGGCAACGGGGAGAACTACGCCAAGCGGAAGAGGGGCTGCTACAAGTGCTGCGAGTGTGGCAAACAGTATGCCACCTCTTCGAATCTGTCGCGCCACAAGCAGACCCATCGCTCCCTGGACTCGCAGTCGGCCAAGAAGTGCAACACCTGCGGCAAGGCCTACGTATCCATGCCCGCCCTGGCGATGCACCTGCTCACGCACAAGCTCTCGCACAGCTGCGACATCTGCGGCAAGCTCTTCTCCAGACCCTGGCTGCTCCAGGGACACCTTCGATCCCACACCGGCGAGAAACCCTACGCCTGTGTCCATTGCGGCAAAGCCTTCGCCGACCGCTCCAATCTGCGGGCCCACATGCAGACCCATTCGGGCGACAAGAACTTCAAGTGCCATCGCTGCAACAAGACCTTTGCCCTCAAGTCGTACCTCAACAAGCACCTGGAATCGGCATGCCTCCGGGATGCCGGGGCCATCGATCAGGGCAAGGGCTTGGAGGAGGACGACGACGACTGCAGCAAGCAGGACGAACTGGAGATGGGCGACGAGCTGGACAGCGATGAGAACAGCCAGGACATTGTGGTGGCCTAGGGATAATCGATGTAGGGAACTCTCCTGCCCGCAACTAAGATACTTTATACCAGAACCCTATAAGCAATACTCGAGCACCCTTATCAAATTAATACTAAAAAGAATTAACAAAACCAAATGAGAATTAAAAACAAACAAAATCTAGTCTAGAAATCGGCTTACTAGCGGAGTAGTTCTTAAAATGGCAGACGATCACGACGATGATGATGATGACGGTGATGGATCTCAACTCAATAGAATCTTCTTCAAGCAGTTATATACACGCACTTATATCTACTCACTTATAATCTGAACTATTCCAAATCTCTCCAAGTTGCAACTTTTACTGAACGAAGATTGGCAGGCGTAAGAACAAAGAAAAACAAAAGGTTTGAGAAGGAAATCCAAAACGTAACTTATAGTAAAAATCTGACACAACGAATATTATGGAACATAAGTAGAAATTCTATATATACACAGATCAAATAAGCATTATATACAGATGGACGGTAGGAAGACGAAAACGGTGGAAACGGCAAATTATATGTATACATATGAACTAAGTGAATAATACCTAGCGAGCAGAACCAATTTGCATGTTTTTTGGTAAATATCTACTTTTAGGCATCGTTTTAGGGCTCTAGAGTTTATATACACCCCTCACAAAACCCCGGTTACCAGACACAATACACCAGATAACACACTAATCCACTCACCACTAGATGTAGTCCTTAGTGTACTGAAGGATTCGATCGGAGCTCAGTTCAAGTCCTAGCAAACTAATCAATTAGTGAACTTATAGCACTACCGCAACCGCAACTCCCTATATCTCTCTTGCTCTTAGACTCTTTTAACCGTACTCAATGATCAAGTTAGCAATCGGAAATCGGATATATATACATATATAGGATCAGAATCGAACGAGACGAACCATTTTAACCGCTGCGGCAACTTTACACTCTAACCAAGTTTATGATGAGATTACTTCCATATTATGCTCTAACTCGATAAACGGAAAACTACTTCAATTACTTAGAAATGATTAAAATTAATGAGAAAACAATTTAGAAACATATCACAAGGACAATACTTAACATAAATAAATACATTCAAAGTATGGAAAGTATATAGTGGCGAAGGAATCGCGACCCCAATTAAGACATTCTCATACACATGCAACAAAGTACTTATACTTACGAAATAGTTATTTTATTACTAGCATTAGAGTTCCCCGATCCCCGTCGTGTACATATATAAGCTCCACATGAAATGCAAGTTTAAAAACAATTTTTTACAAGAACTACCCCCGTACCCGCGACCCCTCGACCCCTCGAGCTTTGGCCCAGCCAAAGGTTTCTAATGGACAGGAACACATCCTCCCCAATCGCAAAAGGATATACATAGAATATATATCCGAATATACCCAATGTTCTGGGAAGTCGAAGATGCAGAAGATGGCAGAAAGGTTGATGAAACGTTGATGATAGATGTAGAAGACGCACTTGTAAAACAAATGATAACTAAAAGCAATTCCAAAGTTAAGTGACATAGTTTTTAACAAAGCAAACAAAAAAATACAAAAATTTGTAATTCTATAAAACAAAAAAATCGAAAAGTATTGATATATACACAAACATGTATTTATTTTACGCGTAGTTTTTATTCCAAAACCAAATGAAATGGGGCAAAAAAAAAAAACCAAAAAAAAAAACCAAAAGAGTAAACTTGAAAACAATTTAATTAAATTGTCAATTACGATTATTTCATAATTTAAGAATTGATGAACGAGGCAGACGCGATAGAGGTTATTTTTTAAAGCATATATATACACATAAATATATTACAAATAAATAAATATATTTAAAAGAGGCAGTTTTATATCGAAATTAATAATAGTAAATGCAAAGTAACAACAAAATATTGAAAACCATTCGAACTTAATTATACAACGAGCAAGAAACCATTAATTATAAACACCCCGCCCCCACACTCTCACACAACAAATACGCCCACATTTTATAGCAACAACGGATTATTACATCGTATCTACATACGTGCGCGCCATGTAGATAACCACGTAAAGTAACGCCGCATGTCGCAGTTCTAGCAGCAATTCTAGAATCTAGAATATCGGGGCAGAATTAGAATTTAGACCAGAGAGTGCTATGTGCATTGTTTATAGGGCCATAGTTCGAAATCGTGTTTATGCATGGCTTTATTGATGATTATTGATAGCGTTTTAAATAGCATTAAATGCCTATATACACATAAGCAAACCAAACAAAAACCGAAAAAACCAATGAAAAACTAAAAAAAAACGTATATAAGAAATTCCATTGAACAGTAGTGGTAACAATTATGTGATTTGCAATTTTACATTCAAAATATATATGAAATAATTACGAATATAAATAGATTATATATTGAGGCGAGCGTTTAATTGATTTATTTATGAGTAAGATTTATTTATACACATTATACACCACAAAAAATAAAAATGAAATGAAAACGAGAAACAAACAAAATGACAAAGAGCTAAAAGTAAGAATAACTCGAATGGATTGAAGTTGGGGCGAAACTAAAAATATTTTTACACAGAAACCTTGTTTTATACACGCGTCAAGTTGAGTCCCAAAATCGAAATACCCCGATCACAACTGCAAAAATTAATTAGAGTCCCCAAAACACTTACAAAACAGATGTGCAGCTGTGCTCCCGATTTCTCTTTACTTCATTCTGTTTGGATTAACAAAAAATGTAAACATATTTAAATGTCAAATGCACCTCCGAGGTTTATCTTTATAATTTGGGATCAGTATTTATCGGCATGTTAATATTACACAGTTGTAATAAGTTGATACCTTATACGATAAATATAATTCGGGAAGTTGGGACCTTTAGCTGATCGTCATCCACACTTTGTTGATAGGAACAAATAATTTCAAGATTAAAGACACCAATTACATTTTGATTATTATACAATAAACAGAAGGGCAGAAATCGAACGGTGAGATATTTTATAAAATGAACGATGAATAACGTAAAGATATTAATTTATATATTCATATATTAGAGATGCAAAAAGACTTGAACAGTTATATACATTTAAAATTGCAATATATTGTATACTTCATTAAAAAAATATATACATACATACCGGCATATATGCAACCACGTATATAAGTAAACATATTTAACTTATTTATATAAATGCTTACAGCGAACCATAAACATATACATCATAAGCCGAATCTCAACTTTTCCAATGCAAGACGAATAGGAATCCCTCAAGTAACTCAAGATCAATTCAAGTATATACTCAATGACCACACGGCCGGCAAGATCGCCTGGCCGCACAGGAATATATAGCTAAAGATATATAGTAATACGTATGAATGCAATACAATGCCACGCCCACTCCCGATTGGCGGGCAGCGATTTTAAGGCGCTGCCCGTCGGAGTTTTCACAGATCAGATTTTTCCTTTTGATACTTAGCATTCGTTCTTGTTCTACTTTTAGTTAGAGAATGTTCAACTAGTTTCAGCTTCCGTAGGAGTTAAATAATCGACTTTAAAGACACGCCACACCTAGATGAACACACGCCACTATACTAATAACCCCGTGACCCCATGACCCCGTAACCCCATAACCCGTAAGCCCACACACTCTATTAGACACTAGCCGACATCTGCAGACATACCCACATGCATAACCATGCGATTTTACGGCAAATATGTAGAGCATATAACCTATTATATCCCCAAGAAAGCTAATCCATTCTTAAATTAAAATACACGCGAGTAGCCGGATTCGATTCGAATCGATTCACAGAAGAATCACACCAGAAGAATCCATTATGGAAATGACAACAAACAGAGAATTAAACTCCCCCCCAAAGGAAACAAACAAAGACACAATGCATCCATAACAAGATCCAAAACGATATGACACGATGAGTGGAAGATTATAAATTAGAATCATAGTTATAAAAGCTACACCCACACACTAGTGCAGCCATGTAACTATTTTTAGAGCCTCGGAAATAAACATACATAAAATACATACAAATATTAAATAAACGACAGAGAAAACCAAATTCTTCTCTTCTTTTATTCAGCGGCAGTGGGCTTGAAGTAAGTAAATTCGAATTAGCAGATAATTATTATTATTATTACATTATATTAATATTATGTTACATTTTATTATTATATATTATTATAGCAGCATTCGAATTATTTAGGACTATCAGTTTTCTATAAATTTAATCACTTGCAAGTACATAAAAACATAATTAGGTGCCAAGAAATACGAAGGGCTTGCAAATTTTGAAATTGAAATTATTTAAATTAATTCTTTAAGCACCTATGATTGCACATATTCGAGTATGATTGCAATTAAGCTTCTTGCTCACTTTTTGAAACTTTAATTAATAGAACCACTTGAAAGCGTCGGACTTCAATGAAAGTTAACTCAATGGCCCACAGCGAACACGCACTTTGAGTGCACTTGTGCGTTACACTGAAAGTAAAAGCGTAGTAGAGGCGGGCTGCCTTGTTTAGATGCCATTGTTTTAAGGGCAAGTTACTCCGCAACTAATAAACTACGCATCGCTGATTTGGTTCGAATGTGGCAGCCACGCGCGGGGAGCCCAGTTAACAAGCGGCATGCGGCATGCAGGAGATGGCTGCACAGCGCACAGTACATAGAGTATCTATAGTAGCTGCAGTACTTGAGCATTATATCGGAATCCGGATGGGGCTAGGCACACACACACACACAAGAAGGGGGGACAAGTGCCTCGTCATGTGGAGTGTGTTTAAATGAAATTGCTTGATTCGGCATAAACATATTTACTCTGTTGAATATTTGCCCAACAATTTGATTCGCAATCTGTGCGGCCAAGGGCAGGGGGCAGGGGAAGGGGGCAGGGGCAGGGGTTTGAAATGCCGAAATCAAAATGGAATTGTATCAAGGACGCGGAACAATCGAGGCGGGCAAACACACACATGCCTCAGCCAATCCTCCCGATCCCAGAGTCCTCCACTTGCATTCAATGGCGTAATCGCAGGCAGATACAAGCACTTGTATTCCGATTTCCGCCGGTGCAGCACAACCAAGCCCAATCCATACACCCAGCCAGGCAGCCGTCGACCCGCGGCATTTCATCCACAGATGTCAGCAATTTCTCGATTTGAATACTCAACAAAAACGAAAGTGGGCAAACAATTCAAAGGCGAGTGCGGAGCGAAAAATAACTGAATAACTGGCAGCAGGGCGCAAAAAAGACGAACCTCTTCGCGCAAATGGCTTCTCTAACGACCCAATTAATTTGAAACAAGTTACAAACAAAAAAACAAAAAATTGCAAAAAATAGAATACGCTTGAGTGTGAGGAATCAGTTGGCCTCGCAGGAGTGGAGCGCCACAGGCCACTAAATGCCGGGCTAGAACCCACGCCCTTGCCCTTTCTCGAAACTGCGGCAATTGCCGCGGAGCCCAAAGCTTTTTATGCCCCACCACGGCGCGAAAAGTTCGTCGACAGCTTCATTACCAGCCATCATCGGAGCCATCATCATTCCGCGTGCACTGCGCGAAAAGGGGAGCCGCATTGGGGCTTCAAGTGCGTAGGGAGGCACAATGATACAAAGTGAGCATGACGACGTTTGGTAAGTATCCTACACTGCAAAGCATTTTTCTATAGTTCCAACACACTTTAAGTAAGTTTGGAAATGATTTCAAGAAATGATTAGCTTCCCCTATAAATAATCAGTAGATAATTGGTGGGGCTGCTTTGCATACAATGGAAAAATGATTTCCCTTTAATTCATGCGAATCGCGGGTGAATTTCTCGCCGTGCACGGATGCTGCTACCCATGAGTAATGGGCAGGGCAAAAGTTTGCTGGAGTCGCGTCAGATTTAAGCTTGGACATGGCCGATCTAGCCTGAGTCTCGAGTCTGGAGCCGCGTCGATCGCAGTTCGCCATTAAATCGCGAGAAGTTCACAGTGCCCGTAGAATAGCCATGGTCAAGACGTCCGGCAGCCTGGGAAACAGCATTTTGCTGGGAGCGCTGGTGTTCCTGGTGCTCGCAGTTCTCGCCGAGGGTAAGTGGAGGGCCTAAAATATGCTGTACTTGTAGGGGCAGTAAATAGCTAATATTAATGGCACATCTGCTTGAAATATTCGCGGCTATTGTTTGGGATGAGAGCCGAAAACAGGTTTTCGAGCGCCAGAACCAGCCAGAGGCGCAGTTTCTGGGGACTTTGGGGCCAAAAGCTCTCTCCACTGCTCGGCTCGTTAGTCATAATTGCGCTTTGTCGTGATTCAAGGCTTCCGGGTGTATGTCATAGCCAAGGCGGCGCAGATTAACCAGCTGATAAGCCAAACAGCACAGCACAAGTGGTAAAAATGTAGCGAAACATAGTTTAATGGCGTGTAATTAAACTCTCCCCCAGCGGCCCCCTTCCAGGAGTTGGAGCCCCGCAAAGGCCATGTGCCCGTCTACATCCGACATGGCGATGAGCCGCTCAGCGAAATCCATCCAGGACTGGCCGAGGCCTTCCAGGAGGGCGAGTCCAAGGTGAGTCCAAAGGACTCTTACAGATTATGAGCACTTTGTTTAAAGCTCACATGCTCCTAGTTCCTATACATCAAAACTATTAGAAGTTTACTACACAAATAGTGTACGAAATATCAGATCAGATACAGTGCAATGTTCTTTTTATCTTTATCTTTAGTTTCAAAATATTAGAATTGCTTGTGTAGTAAAATTCTCTTTAGTTTCAAAATTATACAATTGCTTATGTAGCAATTAATATCTTTAGTTTCAAAATTATACAATTGTTTATGTAGCAAAGTTATCTTTGGTTTGAAAATATTAGAATTGCTTATGTAGCAGTGTACTCCTCATTTTCAAAATATTTTAATTATTTATGTAGCAATATACTCTTTATTTTCAAAATATAAAAATTGTTTATGTAGTAATGCTCTCGTTAGATTCAAAGTACTAGCATTGCTTATGTAGTAAAGTTCTCTTTAGTTTCAGAATTAACCAGTTGCTTGTGTGGCAATGCTATCTTTAATTTCAAAATAATAAGTTGCTTATGTAGCAATGCTCTCTTTAATTTCAAAAGTATAAATTGTTTATGTAGCTCTCCACTGGAGTCTATGTATATTTGGTAGAGTAAGATGCGTTTATATGAAAACCGCTTGAATTCGTCATCGTTTCACTGCGCTTTTCACAGAGTCTCGTCACCGAAGCTCCCCAGGCGGAAACTACAAACCCACCAACCACATCCGATGCTCCTGCTCCGTCCAGCTCCACGGTATCGGATATAGCCAGCTTTGAGGCCATCAAAGGAAACGCGGATTAAGGAATTGAATAAATTCAAAGTTGCTGCTTAAACTTATTTCTGCGAGTCTGCGAGTTAAGTGCATCCAACGAAAGCCCTCGAGGTCTGGTGACAAATCAGCATGGAAATGCTATATATTTAATATAAAATAAACAAAATAAAAATTTAAATAGGGCCAGTTCTAACTTAATAGGAGAGTAATCAAATGGTAAATCGATTCTCAATAAACCATTAATTTCACTTATTAGTGTGTGTGGTCACTGCAAAAATATGAAAACTATTTCGCTATTAATTATGGGCTTAATAATGTACACATTTTGTAAGCCAAAAGCCTACTTTGCTCTTGAATTAAAACTGCAATTTGCCGTGGGGAGTTCAAAAGGGTCGTGACCCTGTTTAAAATAAACTTAAAAGAGTTCTCTAACTTAATTATTTGTAAAATGTACACAATTACCAGGCACGTTAAGTCGCTTTAAACGATCCCATTCCCATTCCCGTTCCCAATCGACTTCGTCACCATCGCCATAACCAACCAGCCAGGAATTGTGCGTCCTGTCTGGCGCGCTTAAATGAATTTCTGAATTTCTGAATTTCTGAATTTCTGTGGACCCAAGCTCGTTAAGAGCTGTGCAAGTTTCACACATTCAATGGAAATTATTCGGTCCTTTTGGGCTTCAGTTTCAGCTTGGGGTTCTGTTTCGGCTTCGGAGTCCTCGCAGCTCGTCGCTGGCGTCGCTGGCATCGCTGGAATCGCCTTGGAGCTTTGAGTGTGATTTACTTGTTGTGCCCATTAGGGAGTAGCGGACACCCCGCCCTCCGGTGGGCGGATGGTAGGGCACCCGGACATCAGGACACCCGTACAGCAGGACACCAGGACACCAGGACGGCTCCTGGCCAGGAAGCTGTGTGGCGCAAACGTTCGTAATTAATATAATGGCAACGGCTGGGCCGAGCGAAACTCCAAAATGGCCTACACACGTTGCGGTTCGGCATTTTTGGGGATTGGGGAACGGGAATGGGCGCTGGGCGTTGAGGTCTTGGAGGATTTTTTGGGCATCAGGGCCTGGCTGATTGGGGGCGATCACAAATTGTTGTTTCATTGTCTCACAGCCCGGCTGTCTAACGAGCAATAAAACTAAATACATACACATAAAGTTAATTATAAAAGGGCAAAGGAAATTGGAAGGTCCCAGACTATTGAGCTGTAGGATGCAAGTGATGGATTAACCAAGATGGAGTGTCCTTCGCGGCGGTTTTGCGGGTTGGGGTGCTTTATCTGCAGACGAAATCGGGCTGCAATCAAGACGGCATTAAAAGGAAGGCAAAAATACTTGGCGTAGAAGGGGGCCAAAAAAGTGGCTGTATAAAGGAAAAGCAAACGGAAAAGCCCCAGAAGAAATGCCACAAAAAGCGACGAAAACTATGCGTAGTAAAAGCGAATTTTATGGAGCATCCTCCTTTAAGAAACAGCTCCTGAATTTAAATTTCTCTGCGTACAATTTCACATACAAGCGAGTATTTGCACGCACACACACACACAGATAAAGCAACGCACACACACACACACACAGACACAAACAGGCTGCCAGGACCGTGTTCTTGTATCATTGTGTGCGTTCGAGCGCATTCAACCTCAAAATGAATAATTGCATATGCTTCAATGATTTGCGACTTTATTCGAGAGCACAAGCTCGGCACCTCCGCTCGCCAACTGCCAATACTTTAAAGTTAAAGGCCAGGAGTTCAATTGCAGGACCTTAGGACCTGGGGACGTGGCAGATGAGTTGGCGCTGGCAATGGTCGAAATGGTTGAAAATAAGCAATGAGTGCCCGACCATCCAGGCTAATTTGAGAATTGCCCGGCTTAATTGCGTGGCACTTAAACAATAATCAAGTTAACGGTTATGCCGGCGATTATCGCCATTTTTACACCGATGCCAATACTAAGGATTATTGGCTGCCCATTAACAGGAGCAGCAATTCCAATCCGTGTACCCCCGCCTGATACTCAATTCGATTCCGTCCGGTCCAGTGGCACTCGTACACGGCGAAAAATGCTTGCAAATCAGTAGATGCTGGACTCTTATATGATAACTCAGAACTCTCAGTAATCATAATAGAAACTTCATCGGGCATCTCAACAAATTAAAGCCTGGAATGTTTGAGTCTTGCCCATGTAGAATTCGGGTTAGATGTCAAAGTTCGAGCATAATAATGTTACATTTACATAAAATTCAGGAATTGTTCGACCAGCTGCACGAGCAGCAGCAGGACCTTCAAGAGCTGCTCCTGGAGGAGTGTCCTGCCAGTCCAGAACAGCGACTAGTCCAACTGGAGTCGAGCACATCACGCATGCATCAATACCACAGAAAGCGCGAGGACATGCTGTTGAGCTTAGAGGAGGAGATATCCAAATATGAGTCCGCCACGCCGCTGGTGGATCGCATTGCCCAAATGCACAGCCAGGTGAGCGCGGTGAACGAGGCGCTGGACAAGATGTACGAAATCAACGTCTGCTCCATCTGCGACCTGAAATGTGGGCCACATGGCAGGCATTCCCTGGTGTCCCTGCGCTGTGGCCACCTCTTCGGATGCAACTGCATCAACAATGCGCTGCGGGAGTCATCTCGATGCCCCACCTGCTCGCGGGCAGCCCTTCAACACCATGTCCGCAGGATCTACGGCTTGCACTTTTATCCTTTTTAGCTGCGTTGCATTTTCCACCTCCAGTTACTGCCAATTTAGATATATTTTATAATTAATTTGCATTTTTTGTTTTTATGATATATCTTATGCAGCCTAGTAGCCATCAAATTTTGTGAATGGAAAGCATTTTCAAATTAAACTTGATTTTATACTAAGCCAGTATTTTTGCCAGTGCGGGAGCAACTTTATTGGGTTTAATGTGAGCACATTTTCGCCAGCGAGTGGTCCTATTTGCCACCCAGGATGCCACCCAAGATGCCACCGCCGCCGCCGCTGCTGCCGCCTCCGGTGATGCCGGGTATGGAAATGAGATTGCCCAGCAATGGGTTGCCATTTAAAGTGAGCAGGCAGCTGTCAAAGCAATTGCACGAAAAGGAGCAGATATATGAGCGAGAATATCCTGCAGAACTCAACCGGAAGTTGCCACTTACCGCAGATCCAGCCGGATGACGTACTGACAGGCCCATTCCCGAAGGCACTGCAACGTGGAGCACAGAGATCGGGAGTTTGGTTTAAAGCTGTCCGAGGGATTTATTTAATCCGCACTTACCCGTAAAGCTTCGGGAGAAGGACGCGGGCAAGTGCCGCCGATTTCTCCACCGCCGCCGCCACCCCCACTTCCGCTTCCTCCGCCGCCGCCTCCGCCTCCGCCACTGCCGCTTCCTCCGCCACCACCGCCGCCGCCACCTACTCCTCCTCCTCCTCCTCCTCCACCGCCGCCTTCTTTGGTATAAACAGGAACTGGCACAGGAACAGGCACTGGCACTGGCACCTTCTTGATCGGAGTGGGCTGCTGCTCCCAGGGACTCTAAAGGATGCAGTTCTAATAGATCACCAAAACTAGATCTTGAACACCCCAGCTTACATTATGACCCAAGGACAGGACTATCAGTTCCAGCACAGCTAGGGATATGACTAATTTCCTCATCTCAGCTGCAGTGAAAGTCATGCACTGATAATGACTTACTACCTCAAATCGCTTTATATACACTTCCAGATCCCACAGGTGTTTTACATGTGGGTCAAGCAACAGATTCAATGGGATAATCCACTTTTATTTAGGATAAGTAATAATAGTGGAGTGCAACAATACAGGTGAGGCGCAGTTCCTAAATAAAGAAATATATTATTCAGCAACTTATAATTATAAATGGCAAGCCGGAAACATCAGTTATAAATCTTATCTCGCCTGTTTTTCAAATGAAAATAAATTTTGACTTTTCGAAAATCTAAACAGCTGCATTCAATAGACTGGCAACGCCGAATCGGTTAACAGCACAAACAATTGTTCACGATCTGGCAGCTCTGTTGCCCGTTTCGCCTACCGCCAAATTCAAAATTCCCCTATAATAGTGAGCAAATGCGAGTGTAAAAGTACTTAAATTACATGCAGCTACAAACTCTAAAAATAATAATAAAACAACTGTTTGTCCATTGATTTTCTATATATATTTCAATTAATTTGATAATCATAAATATTTTATTTATTCGCCATGCAAACCATGTACAATTACATAAATAGGTAGGTTCATTTCAATTTCAATTTGTGGTTTTTAGTGGTTTCGTGTACTGTTTGTGTTTCTGGTTTGGCAACTAGTCGTATATATGTAAGTATATATAAGTTACGAGAACTAATTGTACAATAATTCGTCTAATAATACCGCTGTGTATAAGAGTAATATGAACGATCGCTTGCTAGTTGATTAGTATAAGTAAGACAATATCATTACCCTTGGCAATACAAATATCAATGGTGTAATTGATCTGCGCGAGAACGGTCGCAGCTTAAAAGAGGAGAAACTCACATCCAAAATCGAGACTCCTGCTCGTAATTCCTAGTTCCATTGTACAGGTAGGTGAGGCTAACCATGCTAATCATGTTCGAAACATTCAACTGACTTAACTTGACTTTTTGAGCAGTGTTTTTGTGGACAGGTGGGTGATTGTTTTGGAGTAATGAAGCACAGGGGCCAAAAGTAATCTCCGAGTAATGCTTGCGAATTTGCTTGATTGTGAATTCAATATTCCATTTAAAAACTAACTCAAATTGTGGGTTTTTCTCAGGATCATTGTCGTTCAGGCATAGCTATTTGTTTGCCCTTTCATGGGTTTTACTATTTGAAATATGTTTATATTTTTCTCTTGTTTTTTGCAAGTTCAAGAAATGAGTTGAAATATTTTCTGCATATATTAATAGTATGGAAATATTTGCCTTAATTCTTTTTTTGAGTACTTTGTATTAAATCCTTTGTTTCTTGCGGCTCCTAACATTGCAAGGAAAACAAGTGCCATTAAAAAATGTTATATTGCTTGAAACTAAATCTGACTATTAGTTTTATAAATTCCATTGCATATACTATTTATCTTTTAGGGGATATGCAATCAGTGTGCTGGCCAACGCTGCTGAGCCAAAAGAAATTATATTCGTTATATTGAAAAGCAAACATTCGATAGATTACTTTTCGTCCTTATGGCGATCTCGCAAGCCCAAAGATTCACCCACCCATCAGTGATTCGTATTTTTTGCATTAATTCGCAGTCGTGTGCTAAACGGGGTGGTCGTGTGGAATCCATAAATCAGTGGAGCGCTCAGCGTCCGAATCCAAATCCGAATCCGCAGCTGCACTGCCCCGGCGATTCTCAGGTGCACTGCATCTTCTTGCAGTTGCACAGCCACTTGATGATCCTGGCATTCCGCTCGACAATCGACGGCGGCTCCGATGGTCTGTACGCCTGTGTGGCCTGCGGCTGGGTTTCCGTGCTATCCGGCAATCTCATCGAGTCCACGGTGCTCACATCCGAGAAGAAAACAGTGCTGGAATCATCGGAGGCGTCGTCCGTCTCCGAGTGGTGCCTCCTTGGTTGGCTGTAGATCTCGTGGAAGGCCTCGTCATTCAGTCCCAGGCGATCGAAGAACTTCTCCAGCTCCGAAATGCTGGCATTCAGTGCCTCCCTCTCCATGTCCAAACTGTTGTGGTACACCTCCGAGGAGAAGCCCTTGGGAAAGAAGACGTTTTCGTGGTCCGCGCTGCCGCGATGCTGTTTGTAGGCGGCCAGCACACCACTGGCCGTGCCCATTCCTCCCGATCCTGGGGCTACGAGGCCACCTCCAGATCCCGGTGGTCCTCCCATTTCTGCAGGTAGATTATAAACAAATGATGATCATGTGCCCCTAAATTAACTTCTTCCCTACCTTGAACTGGCAGTCGATTCCTGTTCTTAAAGCGGATGCACCGCTGCCTCTTGAACTGGATGGGCGGCGGACTGATGTCGTCCACGGATGGCGCCGATCCGGGGCTCTGGACCAGGGAGCTCTGCGAGTGATTGATGCTCGTGTAGCCCTGCGAACTGGTGTGCAGCTGCTGGCTGGAGGAGCTCGAGTAGCGTGGCGTCTGGGTCTTGAGCCGGGGCGACGGCGGTGTCGGGGTGTAGTCATCCTGGAAGGCCTCTGGAACCTCCGGAGTGGGCGTGAAGTTCAGCAGATAGTCCGAGCCCATTGTGGTGTCCTGCTTGCAGCGGCAATCCAAGCACTCCGTATTCCGGCCACCACCCATTCCGGCATAGTCGCCGGCGGGCGTGACATAGCCGCAGTAGGAGTTAGCGCTGTGCTGGGTGGAGGAGCCGCTGTCCCGGCGAGTGGCGGCCACCAAGGTGCAGCAGTTCTTGATCGTACCGCTCGCCGGCGCCGCACTGCCGGCCACCTCCCGCTGCCGCTCTCTCTTGTAGCAGGGCTCGCTGCGATGGGTGTAGTGGCCGGAACTGCCGCCGGAGTCGCGGTTTATCGAGGACTCGCCGGCGGACTTGATCGATCGGTTGCCACGGCTGCAGCAGCTCAGGATCTCGCTGTGCGGCGAGTGTCGGCTTATCTGGGTGTGCAGATCCGGCAGCGACTTGTGGCTATTGATGTTGAAGTCGCCGGAGGGATAGGGAGCGCTGCGATCCTCCCCCGTGTTGGGAACCTCGTGGGAGTGCGAGTACGAGCGCTGGTAGTTGTATCTGGTAAATGGTAGGTAGGGTATCCATTAGTTGAGTGCAACTTCGGGTAAATGTGTTTTTATGTGTGCCTAAGAGTATGCAATGCATAAATTCGGGTAAATGTGTTTGTTTGCTTAAGAGTATGCAATGCATACTTAAACTACACTTTCGGAGTAATGAGTCAATGGAATTTTCGGACTACGCGTATTTTGTTGCATACTTTCAGGCAAGCGGCTAAATGATGGCCCCGCCAAAGGATGATTCTCTACTGTGGCCTTGCAGCACTAATCCCACATCCCATTCACTAACTTTGGTTTGCCCAATAAGGAGGATAAGCCAACCAACTCACCTGTAACGGTCGTTGTGCGCCTGGCCCGACTTCGCAGCATACTCGGCGGGCGGGCTGATGGGTCGATAGTTCTCGGTGAGGACGAGTGGTTCCTCGCCGTCCCGCCCGTAGCCGTGAGTGGTGGGCATGTAGAGCGGCGGCGGGATGCGCAGGGCGCCCGCCTGACCGCCCAGCTCCTCCTCGCCGTAGTCCGTGGGCAGCAGCTCCGCGCTGCCGTCGCTCATCTCGTGGCGCCTCAAGGTGCCGCCGTTGCGCTCCTTGCCCGTCTCCGCACCCAGCAGCATGCGCAGCTTGTGCTGCAGGAGGTTGTTGTTCACGGCAGCGCCTCCGTTTCGGCCTTGACCTTGGCCCTGGGCGTGTCGGGAGTGCGAGTGGTGCTGGTGTGGGTGGGGATGGTGGTTGTGCAGGTACTGCTGCTGCTGCTGCTGGTGCTGCTGCTGCTGTTGCTGCTGCTGTTGCACCTGCTGCTGCACCTGCTGCTGCACCTGCTGCTGTCGACTGAGATTGAGGCTCATGTACCGCCTGTCCTCCAGGTCATAGTGGTGGCCATGCGACTCCTCCGGCCGACGACCCCTCTTCCCGCTAGCTCCGTTGCTAACCCCTCCATTGCGGTAGCTCGCCTGCTGCAGTCGCTCAAAAACCGCCTCGGATTTTATGTAGAACGGCTTGGACTCCGCCAGCAGCTCCACGGCGGACTTCCTCTTGCTGTAGTGCCTACCGCCCGTGTGATAGAAGGCGTTGTGGTGACCCCAATAGTTTCGGCTGGCCGCCGCCGTTTCCGGCAGCGCGGAGGCGGACAGGGGTCGCTGTCCGCCGGAGGAGGACATTCCGTAGGCGTAGCTCGCATCTGCCATGCCGCCTCCACCGCCTCCGAATATCTGCTGACTGGTGGCATACAGTGTCTGACTGGCGGTCCTCGAGTACTTGGGCATGGTCGGGTAGGCGGCGGAGGGCGTGGAGCCGTGGTGACCACCCGGCGAACTGCTGCCATTGCAGGATCGCTGTCGCGGACTGCTGCATCCATGTACCACAGCCGCCATGTTCGCTCTCTTCGGGCTTACTATGGATTCCTGGTTCAGTTCCTTCGGCTTTCAGACTCTAGCTTCTTAGGGTTTTTTCGCGATACCTTAGATACCTCCGAGATACCTTTTAAATTCTTGGGATTCCTCGTATTCCTTGGTTTCTCTCGGATGTTAGGTTCCCTTGTCTTATGGGTTCTTTGATTTCTTTGGCTTGATATCCTTGGCTTCCCTTAATAACATGGGTACTTTGGTTTCCTTAGGTGGCTGTTTGTGTTTTGCGCCGCTGAATTGGATAATAGTTGCTCCGAAATAGCCAGATCCTTGGCTCCCGATGGGCAGGTGTTGCTGCAGGTGTCACCTGCTGTTCCACCCACTTTTCTCTGCCCCTCAGCTTTTCTGCTGGCCCCGATTGCAGGGGGTGTGCGCTGGAGTCCGGGTTTTGTGGCATGCGCAGTGGTCGGCGTGCTGCGTATACTGAAATTACGATACAATAATTTTCAGCCAAGGCTCGACGGCAGTCACCTTCTACGCCTCCATAGCAATCCGGAAAACTAGACCACACCAAGGCGAAGCCAATGAGCCAGCGACGACACGCACTTGGTCACAGGAGCAAGTGGAAATGGTTGCTCTGTCGTGACCTGGTCTAGCCAGTATCCAAGGTGTATTTATAGATTGCAGCGCACCTTCACTTCGATCCTGCACAGGATTTCGAGCTATAACGAACTAGGGACCTGCTTTATTAGCACAGTAACACTTTTAGAAACCAGACACTCGATGGAGTGATTTTCCTCTCGACTTGCAGCACACTGCCACTATTCCACGGGTGGGAGCTCACCAGGCGCTTCGAAAATTCCTTCACTTGTGCGACGGTGGCAAGGTCTGGTACATTGTGCCCCTTTGAATAACAGATGTTGTGCCGCTTCCAAAGTGTTCCGTCCTCCCAAAAAGCTCCACTCATGCGCCCCACAAAAATACCCCAGGCTGAGCTTTTACTGGTCGCATAAATAGGTGTGGTGTTTACCCGAGATTCCCTTCCATTCTGCCCCAGAGTCACAGAAGTTACTAGAGAAACTTCCGGTATTACCTACTTTAACTTTGCCTTAAGGCTCTATGAAATTTGAATTTAAATGTAATCAACCAGCTTATATAGGTTAGAATAAACCACTTACTTGTTTCAAAACCATATATTTAAATTTCAAAAAAGCGTTTCAAATGCGTTACTGTAGCTCGGCCATTTCTTCCCGCCAATATTGGCCAGCTTTTCGAACGACTCAGAGCTTTCCTCAGAACTTTGTGAGAGAGCCCCATGGAGGTGGTCAGATAGTCGGTTCGGTCAGTCAGCGAGCAACTGTGGAACCGCCAAGATGTCCAGCAAAGTTCCGTACGTGAAGCACAACAACGGCACCCAAATTCAGTCCCTCGGACTGGGCACCTATACGGTAAGATCGCGCCTTCGATTGTTATCAGTTGGGCACATATATCCACTATCCCATTTTAAAACCGGATCTTATTCAGTCGCTTGGTGGCGACTGCGAGCGGGCCACGCTGCATGCGATTGATGTGGGCTACCGGCACATAGACACCGCCTACTTCTACGAGAACGAGAACGAAGTGGGTGCAGCCGTCCAGCGGAAGATTGCCGAGGGCGTCATCAAGCGGGAGGACATCCACATCACCACCAAGGTGAGTTCTGGCTAGGCTGTCATGGAATGCCCATCATCCTGAAATGGAAATCCAAACTCTTAGCTGTGGTGCCACTTCCATGAGCCGGAGAGGGTGGAGTACGCGTGCCGCAAGACTCTGCAGAACTTTGGACTGGAGTACGTGGATCTCTACCTGATGCACTGGCCCTACTCCTACGTCTATCGCGGCGACAACGAGATGATGCCCACCGACGCCAAGGGAGAGGTGGAACTCAAGTGAGTAACATAACTATATTCATGTTTGTTTCAAAGTTCAACTCCATCCATCGCTTTTAATCTAGTCAATTACTTGCCAAATGTGGGTGTGTTTAGTTTGTATTTGCCCGAGTCCTAATGAGTCGAATTTGTGGTATTACAGCGATATCGATTACCTGGACACCTGGCGCGCCATGGAGAAGCTTGTGGAACTGGGCCTGACCAAGAGCATCGGCGTATCCAATTTCAACTCGGAGCAGTTGACTCGCTTGCTGGCCAACTGCAAGATCAAGCCAATCCACAATCAGGTGCGTCAATTGTGGTTTTGTCTGAGGTTTCGTATGCCTAATAGCCATTTTCCAGATCGAGTGTCATCCCGCGCTGAACCAGAAGAAATTGATTGCGCTGTGCAAGAAGAATGACATTGTGGTGACCGCCTACTGTCCCCTGGGACGACCCAATCCTGCCGAGAAGACGCCCAACTACATCTACGATGCCAAGGTGCAGGCCATTGGAGACAAGTACAAGAAGTCCACCGCCCAAGTGGTGCTCCGATATCTGGTACGGATTAGGATACTCGTTTTATGAGCAAGAAAATCTCTTATTAATTATTTGCTTACCGAAATAGATTGAGATTGGAACTATCCCGCTGCCAAAGTCCTCCAATCCCAAGCGCATCGAGGAGAACTTCAAGGTCTTCGACTTCCAGCTGGATGCGGAGGATCATGCCGTCTTGGATTCGTACCACACTGGGGAACGTCTGATCCCCATGACCCACGCCATCAAGAGCAAGAACTATCCATTTAACATCGAGTTTTGAGCCGAAGGGGTGGCGCAATGTTAGATATTAAAGTGGTTGTTAACCTGATATTTTGAAATATACGCCAAGAATTATTTTTGAGATCTGTTATTTCATTATCTATTTGATATGTTTGTTTTGGCAAGTTCGTACAACAAACACCCTTATTTCTTTTACACATTATCGCTTCATTTTTAATTTTAGGTACAGGTGGTTATACTAAATACTTATATTTCCGTCTTATCACTTCAACTATTTTTATTCGCGGTCAAGGCTGTGGTAAATATTTCCAAGGGGGTTCGAAATTTATTTTAAGGTGCAATATTTATAGTACAATTACTCTACACCTTCTTTCAAGTCACATAAGACAAATTAACTTAACAAATTAAATTAATTTACGAGACAAATTAATTTTGCGATTATACAATTCGCCATTAAGACAACCCCTTTTTGGACACCCCTGCTGAACATTTAGTGATCTGAGAGAGAGCTTTCGCTCGATCATCTAGTTTTTGCAGCAGGCTTGGCATGGAAAATTCCATTTAATCAAGATCATTTGGACTAATACAATTTCGCTTGTTCGAATGCCTTTATTCGCAACTGCAAGGCAGATTGCAAAAATGAAAGCAAGAAAAGAAAAATACATAAACAAGCCCACATGTGATAAGTAAATAAACAAAACTAGCGATAAAGTTAACTGAATAAATGAGCTTTGCGCGCCACTCAACTATCAAACTATCGATAAATGTTTTTCAAAAGTGTTCCCACACATTTCCAAACGGGATTTTGGATACTTATTTAGAGTAAATATGTTTTTAGTTGCTCGTTTTAAAAACAAAAATTATTACACACAAAATATTGGTTAGGCCAACTAGCATATGCCCTACTTTCAACGCTAGAAACTATTTCCAAGTTTCTTTGCCAGCTTGGCCGTGTTTTATCTGCAAATGGAAAAGGTCTTTTGAAGGTTCCGTGGGCCCATCGAAAAACCTTATAACCGAGGTGGAACGATCTACCCAGGCATTCGGTGTTCAACTTTGTAACAGCGAAGATGACCGGGAAAGTGGAGTACTACTTCAAGCACAACGACGGCACCCAAATCCAGGGAATCGGACTGGGCACCTTCGCGGTATGACATTGAGTGCTATGATCATAGCAGATAGGGATCAGGAATGTCGGTTATCAGCCGCCGGGTTAACGTCATTTCGAGAAGCGCTAACGTTATTGATGACTTGTAATTCCAGTCGACGGAAGGCGATTGCGAACGGGCAGTTCTCCATGCGATTGATGTGGGCTACCGGCACATTGACACCGCCTACTTCTACGGAAATGAGGCCGAAGTGGGTGTGGCGGTTCGGAAGAAGATTGCCGAAGGCGTCATCAAGCGGGAGGACATATTCATCACCACCAAGGTCAGTTAACCTGGGACTATGGCGGGCGCATCATAAACTAATCCTTGCGTGGTTACACTTTTCCGCAGCTCTGGTGCAACTTCCATGAGCCGGAGAGGGTGGAATACGCCTGCCGAAAGACCTTGGAGAATATTGGCCTGGATTATGTTGACCTCTATCTGATTCACTGGCCTTTCTCCTACAAATATCGGGGTGATAACGAGCTGATACCCAAAGATGCCAATGGAGAGGTGGAACTAGTGTGAGTAAATTGAATAGTATATGAATCTGATTGTGAAATACGCCTTCTGTTATCTCGATTCTACTACGTGTACTTACCCTCAACTACAGGGACATTGATTACCTGGACACTTGGGGCGCCATGGAGAAGTTGGTAGACCTGGGCCTCACCAAAAGCATTGGAGTTTCCAACTTCAACGAGGAGCAGTTGACGCGCCTGTTGGCCAACTGCAAAATCAAGCCCATCCACAATCAGGTAACTGAATCACACGAAGTTCCCGAAAGTTTTTCAATTTTGATTGTTCCTTCTGCAGATTGAGGTCCACCCCGCGTTGGACCAGAAAAAACTGATTGCCCTGTGCAAGAAGAATGGCATTCTGGTGACCGCCTTCAGTCCACTGGGCAGGCACAATGCTCAGCTGAGGACGCCCAGCTTCATGTACGATGGCAAGGTTCAGACCATCGCAGACAAGTACAATAAGTCCATTGCCCAAGTGCTGATCCGATATGTGGTAGGGATTTGGATTAATGTTCTAATGCTCGACCGGATCTCTCATTATGATTACAAATTGCAGATGGAGCTGGGAACTATCCCGCTGCCCAAGTCATCCAACCCCAAGCGCATCGAGGAGAACTTCAATGTCTTCGACTTCAAGCTGACTGCTGAGGATCATGCCATTTTGGACTCGTACCACAATGGGGAGCGTGTTGCTCATGCCCGACAAGCTATCAAGAGCAAATACTATCCCTTTAACGTTTATAGTGCTTGTTTTTGATTCTACGAATATGCTTAAATTATTATGAATTATAAATAAAACGCAACCCCTTGTTAGGGAACACCCAAAAACAACAATGCAGAAATTTTAAATTTGAATGCAGATTTGTAGAGAAACATTTAGAGGTATGCCACTTGAAAATCCGATTAAGATAAGTTGAGTTATGGAGTATAGAACTTCAGCCTTAGGACATTTTTTAAGTTTTTTGAATTTCACTAAAATCATACATCAGAAAACTACAAAAAAATTAAAAAAAAAAAATTTTTTTAATTTGAATGCAGATTTGTAGAGAATTGCGCCAGAAACATTTAGAGGTATGCCACTTGAAAATCCGATTAAGATAAGTTGAGTTATGGAGTATAGAACTTCAGCCTTAGGACATTTTTTAAGTTTTTTGAATTTCACTAAAATCATACATCAGAAAAACAACAAAAAAATTAAAAAAAAAAAATTTTTTTAATTTGAATGCAGATTTGTAGAGAATTGCGCCAGAAACATTTAGAGGTATGCCACTTGAAAATCCGATTAAGATAAGTTGAGTTATGGAGTATAGAACTTCAGCCTTAGGACATTTTTTAAGTTTTTCGAATTTCACCAACATCATACATCAGAAAAACAACAAAAAAATTAAAAAAAAAAAATTTTTTTAATTTGAATGCAGATTTGTAGAGAATTGCGCCAGAAACATTTAGAGGTATGCCACTTGAAAATCCGATTAAGATAAGTTGAGTTATGGAGTATAGAACTTCAGCCTTAGGACATTTTTTAAGTTTTTTGAATTTCACTAAAATCATACATCAGAAAACTACAAAAAATTTAAAAAAA